GGCATCTACATAGGTCTGCACGCCACTGTTACCTAGCCCTACACATCTCGACCGTATCTAACACCTAACACAAGGTCCGCCGCTGATTTCACTACTGGCCCACGCCTCAGTGGTCAGCTGACCGTCCCACGTGACCGGTCAGCTCCTGTACGTCCATTGGTCTCTCTACCCAACTATCTATAGTCTGTTTCTGCTAACCTCTATCAGTGGCGGAACTAGAAAAAAATGGCCACCCCGCAAAAAATTTTTTTTAGGCCCCCCCCCCCCATATATATATATATATATATATATATATATATATATATATATATATATATATATATATATATATATATATATATATATATACATATATACTAAGAGCATAGGTTACTCATTGCTGGCCTGTTCGGGTTTTGAAAAAAATGGTTTTTTTTTTTCAATTGAAACAAATTACTACATAAGTTCATGTGTATAAGTGCATTAGTGTGTTTTAGAAAAACAGTTTTATTTTATTTGCTTTGAGTTCTCTTAACATCTATCTAGCCAAAAGAATATAAAACATGAAATCTTTGTAGAAGTAATGGTGTCTCGTGTTATGATTATTTTTTTTTTGTATTTATATTATTAATTTTAAATACATTTCCTTTTTATACAAGGTCATTCTTTAGTAAGTAGCCTACTTTATGAAAAAATATTTAGTAAGAGAAGTAATTGCTTTTTAATTTGTTTAGTACAAATCTATTAAAAGGAGCTTATGAGCACCCCAATTTGACTATTTAAAAAAGGGAAATAAGTCATGGAAGTGGTTTGAATGTTTGCTTATCTTTGTTAAGTTTAATTGTAGAAGAGAGAGGACTTGGCTTTCACAGTGGTTTAAAAAGAAAGGGAAAAAGAATATAAAAGAGCGTGGGGATGGTGTCTATAGAATAAAGATAATCAAACCGCAGCTATGGTAATCGTTTTACAAAACAAACATCAAGTAAAAAATTGCAAGAAAATTAGATTTTTTTAACTATAATAAAAACTATTAGGGTCGGCCGTGGGCCCCTAAATGGCGTGGGCCCCCCCGCATTGCGGGGTCTGGCGGCACTGTAGTTCCGCCCCTGACCTCTATCTACTTGACCTAAACTAGCCTCAGCACTGTTAGCCATATAGCCCGTTTACTCAAAATCAAGCAAACACCTTTATACGGCTTCAAACGGGTCTAGAACATTACCTCGTCAGTTACTCCCCGGAATATCCCCTCCCCCGACATTACCACCCCCATGGAGTCATTACCTCATGTCAATTACCCCCCCCCCCCCCTCCACAAATCACGAAGAGCCCAAACCCCATAGCTAACCCCAGCATCCATCCTAACACCAACTCTAAACCTACATCTAGCCTTAACTGGGGGGGGGGGGGGCGTGGTTTATTGACGGGGGGGGGGGGGGGGGTAATTGTTCCAGGTGTAATGGGGGTGGGGGGGTAATGTCCTCTTCCCCTTCAAACATACCTGCTCCACCACAATCAGTATAATAATAATAAGAATGTTCATTACTGGATTGCTGATGAAGATTTCCAATGCATCGATTTTTTTTCCTGGGCAAAGCTGTCGTTTGTCATTAAAGTAAGATGGATATGCTATAACTTGTGTTAGGATTTATCGACTTATTTTAATCAGAGTTCGGTCTGATTCGATTATTGTGAACTAAAATAAGCTTTGCTCTAACAATAGACTCAGTGGCGTAGCGAGGTCGGGTGTCACCCGGTGCCGCACTTAATGGTGTCACCCCCCAGAGGCGTAGCGACCCTTCCCGGGGACAAACTTTCAAATTTTCGATTTGCACCCCCCCCCCTCAAACTTTCGATTTGCACCCCCCCCCCTCGAGTTTTCGATTTGCACCCCCCCCCTCAAACTTTCGATTTGCACCCCCCCCCCCCCTCAAACTTTCGATTTGCAACCCCCCCCTCGAGTTTTTCTCTATATATTTTGCTATTTTTTGCCTTGGTGTCACCCCCTAAATGGTGTCACCCGGTGCGGTCCGCACCCCCGCCCCCCCCCCCTCGCTACGCCCCTGAGATGAAGTAGAGTTCATATGTTTCTTGCCCTCGGTGTCTACTTTCCAATCAGAGCTATTCGGACTCAGTGACGTTCTGCTGACTTGGATTCGAACTCGAGACTTTCGGGTTAGCAGTCTAGCGCTCTACCGTCTTGGGGGGGGGGGGGGGAGGCAGTAGTTCTTCGGGGGGGGGGGGCTACGAATAGATGCCTGGAAGAAACTCTGACCACGCCCCATGTTAAATATTGTAGTAACTGAATAATTTAGTTTCTTGAGAGGACAGAAGATAGAGGCGGGCGTGGCTAACAAAAACCTGACTTGTCAAAGGTGATCAAAGTAAATGATTTGATGCACCGCTCCAATAGGACACTCGATTTAAAACTGAATCTGGACAGATCCTTAGAGCAGGGCTAATGCACTATGGGGTAATAAAAAGTCTCTTTAAAGCAGTGGTTCTTAACCTAGGCGCGATCGAACCCCAGGGGCTCGATGAGTCTGTCTCAGGGTTTCGGTGGTAGTCAAGACACTATAAAGAAGGGTTCGCAGGATGTGCATATGAAACTAGTGGGGTTCGATACCTCCAAAAAGTTTAAGAACCACTGTTTTAAAGAGAATATTTGCTTAGTTACCGGTAATGAATAAATTCATAGATTGGTAACATATTCCAGACATTCCAACATAGCAGGTCCAATCTTCAGCTGTGTGTGCTGTAAGTGTTATTCACTTGTTTATTTATTTATTTTTGCGCTTTTTTCGCAACTTCAAATAATTTGTAACTTAAACTTAAGGACGTAGGAGCCTATAGAGGAAGTAATGTAATAGTGCAAAAAAAAAAGGTATTGTAGCCAATCTGTAGTTTTCTCTGAAGTTTTGAGCGATTTTCCGGTATCCGAAAAAGTACTTACTCCACTTCCAGTTTATTAAAAGCCTACAACTTGAGTACTGTTTACGTTAGGTGAAAGAAATTTTACATGTTTCTTGCAACTTTTGTACAATTTCCGGTAACCGAAAGTGGACTTTTTAGCTCCTGTACATAGATTTCTTTCAAATTTTGAGCGATTTCCGGTCACTGAAAGGGGTATCAAAAAATAAATAAATAAAAGCTTCTTGTACATGTACAAAAACCTAGTGTATAGTGTACATCCACCTATCGGTGAAAGCCTGTTGTGTATGTACAAAAACCTAGTGTACAACCAACAATTAATAAACCTGTTGCGCAGGTACAAAACCTACTACGTCCTGCACTACAAAACACCACTAGCACAACATCAAATCAACATGAAATTTAAATATATTCATCTCTTCTAACAAACCAAGCCTTTATTCCAATGAATCCAAATTTTTCTTTTGGTCAACTTGCAAATTATGTTAACTTAAGTTGCCACTCCGAATAAAATCACTGTTGTCCCACATTTCTTCTTAAATATTATGGAACAATTCATCGTTCAATATAGAAAACCAATGTCTAGGACAATGCAGGCAATTCGCCATTGAGCTTTAGACAAAGCAAATTTGTGTTTCTATGCGCCAAAACTACCCTGCAGCATTGAGTCCTACTTTTTAAACGAAACGAAGGTAATTTCGTTTTAGTTTTAGACTTACCTGCTACGCCGATTCGAAATATTTTAGCTCAAGGGGACATCACTCGGCATGCACCAGATAAACACTAGCTGTGATTTACCTTGACATCAAAATTACTATCATTAAATCAATCTTTTTAAATTAATCGGGGATGATTTGTCTTGTTATAAGCATTTTTTTTTTAAATGATGTAATTACTTATCGAAATCGTTAAAAAATTATTATAACCAAGGAGTGGTTTTTAACAACGCAGGCAGGCATATACTTAATAAGATTTACTCACTAAGCTGCTATTCTCATTTGACGAATTATTTCATCGATATGTACAACTAATTATGAATAATGATCAATATATACATGGTTATTAAAATTAATTGAGTCAACAGTATTTGAATTAATATTCCTAGGTATAAATTAAACCAATTTGTCACCAGAATCTAGAGGTATAGATTCAGTATAGAATAATTCATAATTTAAGTATCCCGATTTTCAAAAGTTATCTATTTAAATAGACTGTTGTTGAAGATAAACTGTCAATGTATGTGGTTTGAGGAACTAAAATGTATTACCTCAGTGTTACAATTTACTGTAAAAATTAAACAGTATAGATACAACCAAATCAGTCGCTCAAGCGTTCGGTAGTTCACTTGTAAAAAACAAAAAGGGATTCTTTTATGGCTTAAGTTTCATAAAGTTGAAATATTGTGCTAGAACTGTAGTAAATTTAAAATATAGTTTAGTGAATTTAAAAAAGAAAACAAATCTATTTTTTAATGATTTTGCTAATCTGTGGAATATTATAAAAGGTACTAATTCGATAATTTGAATTATGCTAGCCACAATAGTTTAAACTATTTGAAAAAAAACAACAACTTCAATTTAAAAGTAAAAATATTTATTACACTCACACATACACACACGGGCTCGCGCACGCACACGCGCACACACACACACACACACATACATATAAAGTTGTTTGGCCAGAACATAAACTCCTGACCCGTTATACAAGAAAGTTTTGCTTTGTATTTGACTTCGTTCAACCCCGAACAGGTAAAGAAATTCTCTGTCAAACGGACCAACAATTTATCTGCGTGTTTCAGTCATGTTTAAAACTATAGAAGCCACTGTTAAAAACATTCATCAAAATAAAGTAGTTAAGTAAGCTATCCTTTCGAACCTGACGGTCCTTGGTGCAGGTATCGTTAACATTCATCCTAATAATGTAATACATTGAATCACCAGTCTCAATATAGACTATAGACAATTATTTGCGCCTATGGTGGTTTGAGTATTCAAAAAATCCTTTTTTTTTCAAAATGGCGTCTTGTGTTGATAGCAACAGTACCAACGTCTCCATCTGTCAGCGTGTCGCTACAACCAACTTCACCCACAATGACGTCACTAACGCCGACACGACAGACGCCGCGTGTGCGGTCACTTTTCTTACTGATCGTCCGGGTCGTGTTGACCCAGCTCTTCTGCATCCTGGGCGTGATCACCAACCTCCTCAGCGTTGTCACGTTCGTGATCCAAGGCGTGCGTGACACCGTGAACATCTCCCTCCTGGGGTTGGCCATCTCAGACCTACTGTCGCTGGTCACGTTGTTCTGGCTTGACCTGTGCCAGACGCCGAGTTTCTCCTCCCAGCCGTTGTCGTTCGTTCCGCTGGAGGTCAGTTACCTAACCGGAGGCTGGCCGCACGTCTTCTTCACCAGAACCACCACATGGATCACCGTTTACATCACCATCGAGAGGTGCGTCTGTATCGCCGCGCCGATGAAGGTTAAAGACATATTCACCCCCAAACGAACGCGAGTCTACATCCTACTCGTATACCTAATCATGCTTGGCAGTGTGGCGCCTATCTACTACACGGCGCGCTTTTCAGAAAACTTCAACCCCGCAAGGAACATAACTCTGCTGGGAATTACTTTCATCCAAGACAGAAACGACATAGAGACGGTCTCGTTTCACATTAACAACATCCTGCCTTTAACCGCTTTTATTTTAATTCTCACCGGAACTGTAATCTTGGTCATGGAGTTAAAACGCGTTTCAAAATGGCGGGCTGCGCACTTCCTCTTCCTCTAAAGCCGACGACCCTACTAACTAGAGACACAAAACTTGTGAAGATGATCGTGTTTATTTCAACTATATTCATCGTCTGCTACCTACCGGGAACGGTGGTGTTTATATGGATGATGATAGACCCCACCCTCCGGCTTGACGGGAGCAACGCCCAAACTTTCCAGATCGCCTTCGCGACATTGTTTTTTCTCGAGGCGTTCAACTCGTCTGTGAACATGTTTGTTTACGTTCTGATGAGCACGAAATTTAGGACCACGTTCTTTAAACTTTTAAAATGCTCGACTTTGGTCAAAACTGCACGGGGGTGGCTCAGTGTAGACACGTGACTCTCCAGTGTTTCGTTTCAAATGTTTTTTTCCTCCTCCGCGGTGGGGGGGGGGGGGTATTGGTATGGGGGGGGGGTGGATTCCTCCGGGCGGTGGACACTAGAAAAAAGCATATATTTTCTATATAAATTCTATTTCTTTCGGAGTCCGCCACCCCCCCCCCCCTCCCCGACCTAGAGATGCCTGAAAGAAACTCTGTAAACGAACGCACACACACACAAAAACATTTACTGTGAGCCACAGATGTATTATCTGTATAATCTATATTTATCTTTATTAGCTGAGATGGATATACAGCTTAGGTTCTGTTAAAAATATATGCAGAATTTGCTTCAATTCATTCACTAACCATTATAAATGATATAATACTTTGTTTAGTGTTAGCGTCTACCTATTCCAATTTTTTTTTAATTGTACATTAATTTTAAGATAAATTTAAATTAGGTGTTCTGCCGCTCTTACTATATCTTTTAAATCTTAAGATTTTGATTTTTTTTTAAAGCATGGATGTTAAAAATTGCATAATACCAATAAATTAATCAACTGTTAAGTTAGTTTGTGTGTACTTGATGGAGTGAGGTCGTAAAGAGTAACCAGACTTGATGGTAGTAGTTCCTGCGTTGTTTCTTTCGGATTTTTTTCTTCGGGGTGTGGGGGGGGGGGGGGGGAGCACTTGAAATTTTTGGAAGGGGGAGGAAAAGAAGCGGAAAAGACGACAAAAAGAAAAAAACAATGGGATGTGTGTGCCATGTGTAGGCGACAGAAGTTCTGGAAAATATAACCCCACAATCAATTTCACATTATCATTGTATTATTAATATACCCATCAGCCGTTGATTTTAATTGTTAAAAATATATCAAAATTAATTAGGCCTATTCATTGTTGGCTTCAGAGGCGTAGCGATAGGGGGGGGGGGGGCAGGGCATATGTAAAAACAAATTAAAATGTCATTTTAGCTGCATTTTTTCAGTTTGACGTGGAGGTGCAAATCGAAAGTTTGAGGGTTTGGGGGAGGGGGGTGCAAATTGGAAATTTTCTCCCAAGGGGGGCGCCAAATAGAAAGTTTGTCCCCGGGCGCCGGGAAGGGTCGCTACGCCTCTGGTTGGCTTCTGGGCAGATTACAATATTTTCGTTTGGAATAAAATGAAATTAAAATAAATAAATAAATAAATAAAATAAAACCGGATTGAGCTTTTTTTTTTTAGTTCCGCCACTGCATATGGAGTGATATCGTGGTCAGCACTATGCCCAGCCGCCTTTGTTTCCCTAGCGTGAGTTAGGTACCCATCAGAGCTGGGTCGATTCAGGACGATCCACTTATTTGAACCCAGATTCGAACTCGAGACTCTCGGGTTAGCAGTCTACCGATAACAGTAAAATTTAGTCTATTTTAAAAAAAAAAACGTAGTCAATAAAAGAAGAAATCAAACTGATTTAGCCGAAGAAACATTTGTTAGATTGACAGCTGAAAGCCAACCCATCTAGAATGTTCGTGAAACAGTTGACCATCGCCCTGTTGGTTTTCGCTGTGTACGTTAATGCTGGCGAACTAAGTTCGGTTGGGGATAACGTCAAGCGAGGTGAGTCATCTCTTTATTTATACATTTTGTTTGATTACATTTTTTTCCCCGTTCATGCCCAAGATACAGCGTATCCATTAGAGTTCATCTGTTTTAAATGACATCGGCAGACATAGGGATAGTGTTGTTGGCACTGATGCCCAGCCGCCTTTGTTACGTCACACTCGCAGGGGGTAGGGGGATCCGTAAATTTGTGACAGTGAGGGGGGGGAGGGGGTTCAGATGGTGTGAAGTCACACTTTTGCATTATAAAAAAAGCAATGTTAGAAAACGAATTTTAGCAGTTATTTCGCGTTTTAGAAAACTGTTTTAATAAATTGTAATAGAATTTAGTTAAAATACTCTATTTTGACAGACAAGATTTAGGAACAATTACGACATTTTAGGGGGAGGGGGTGGGTGATGCTTTTGTGAGGATGTGTGACGGATGGGAGGGGGGGGGGGGGGGGGTAAAAATCGTTTAAAAAGCGTGACGTCATTTATGGATGACCCCTATGGTGAGTCAGATACCCATCAGAACTGGGTGGACCCAGGGACGTTCTACAGACTCGAGGCCGGGATCCGAACTCGGGATTTTCTAGTTGACGTTGTGATCTCTACCTTGCGACCAAACTTAACAAATGTTTGAAGGAAACCTCACCCAACTACTAAATCACGCATCCATCTATTTGTCATTCCTTCTGTTTACCTGTTCATTTTTCGACTAAACAATTCAATGCATTATCAATCACTAAAATCTTCTTCTACTTCACTTCTCATTTCTTCCAGCCTAAGCAAGAATAAACCTTAAAATTTCATTTTTTTCATTGACAGCAACAAATTGTAGTCCCCCGTACGATTTTTACTGTGACGGTAGAAAATGCTTGCCACAGGCTTTCGTATGTAATGGCCTTGACGACTGTGATGATCTAAGCGACGAAGCTAACTGCCGTAAGTTTTTACTAAAATATTCCATTTATCCATCCGTTCATTCGCCCAAAAAAACATGAACGGAGGGTGGGGCGACATTTTTTTTAGATCCGCCCCTTTCCATACACTAACTTTCCACCAATTTTTAGACTATTTCTCAATTTGTTGCATTTTTCGACACAATTAATAGTTGCATTATCAGCCCAAAAATAACATTTTACATTCAGTTCTACTCCGTTACTTGCTATACAAAAAAATAAAATAAGTATAACATCCTTCATCATATAAAGTTTTTAAATGCACAGAAATTAAGAAAAATTAAAAAAAAAAACTTGATTTTTTTTAAATTATAAAATTATTGGTCGCTCATGAGATCTGTTACATGATTTTAGCAACCAAAGCTTTTTATATAAGAAAGCGAGTTTTTTTTTCTTATTTTCAGTGTGTTTAAAAGCTTGTTATTATAATTGTTTTTATATTTATTTTTATTTTCCACTTTTTTGTTATTGAATCTAAATGAAGCAGACACTACATAAACTACGACTAAAAATATTTTAGTTGAAACCCTACCAGTATCTTGGGATTTTTAGAAAAATGTTATCCCGCCCCAAATCAGTTCGTGGTCGATGCTTAGCGAAAAACAGTTCACAGGTTGTAAACAGGCTGATCAAGTTAAGATTTGCTATTAAATAATAAAATTTGTTTAAAATATATCTAATAAAATTTTAAAAAAATATATCATTGCATTGTCGTTGAAGAAAAACGCATCTGAAAAATTTCAACGAAATCGCTGCATTAGAAGCCGGTCAAAACTGAGTTACAAGATTTGCAAAAAAAATCCACAAACGAGCATTAAGAAGTAAAAGCTTGTAATAAAAACATTTTTAATCGCCAGCACCAAATTGTAGTGGACCAAAGATGTTCAGATGTGCTGATGGAGATCTGTGCGTGGCACGTTACGACAGATGTAACGGCCAAAA